ACATACATTTTGAAAAATTTCACTAAAACATGGACTATTTAAATATGTCATTTTCCCCTTGTATTAATGCTACAGAAAAAAAGAAAAATAAATCTTAAAAAATGCACCAACACAAACTTCTGTATTGAGTTTTTGTTTGTTTTTCGTTTGGATTGGAATGTTTTTCTTAGCTCCCCTGTTTCCCCTTCTGTGGGCAAAGAGATACTTACTTAGCTTTTAAGATAGCTCACATGTCACGTTATGAAGCTCCTGTTGACACACCAGTTTCCAGGTAAACTGAATCACTCCTTTTCTTCTGAGGTCCTATTGCACCCTGAAGACTTCCATCTTAGTAACCATAGCTTTTATTGCTGTATGGTTGGTGGCATAAGGAAATAATCTCCAGTGGCTACCATATGTTACATAAAGGAAGAAAGAGGTATAATGTGAACCATTAGTCTTGTAAAGTTCACCAGCTATTGGAAAGAAGAGTCAGAAAATACATATTTAAAATACAATCTTAACTTCAGGGTTAGAAATCTGTATGGGTATTAGGGAACCACAAGTAAGATGTACCTTAACCATCTTGCCAGGGCTTTTTTTTGCGGGGGGGCAGAGGGCTCTGAGATATTTTTTCTTGTTATAATGGTAGGCTTGGGAGTGAACAGTGTGATGATCTCAAACATCTCAACTTCACTGAAAGTCATTTTGGTCCTGAAGTGGTATAGACCCAGACATAACTGATATTGTCTCAGAGAAGTAAAGAGAGCTGTGGTCAGGGCCAGGGATTTAGCTCAGTGGTTCCAGCACCGGCCTTGAAAGCGTAAGGTCATGAGTTCAATCCCCGGTACCAAAAATAAATAAATAAAAAGAGAGCTGTGGTCCATGTCTCCTTTAAATAATGAAGGTTTTCTACACATAAGGCCTTACTCACTATATTATGAAGTTGGGAGAACCCTAGTTAGGGACAAGGCTTCTGAGAAATGTTGCAAGAAGGTACAGAAGTACTGTACATTGTTTTATACTGTTCAGCTTCCTTACAGGCCAGAGAGGTACTTTGTTAGTTTGAAAAGAAAGACATGCAAAAAAAATTTGAGTAAAAATTACTCTCAAACTCACTTTTATCAGATGGGCTACCCTAACAGTCAGCTTCCACCAGGTTATACTGCTATCTAAATGACCCCCAAATCTCAGTGGCTTATAAAATATATTTATATCTCACTGACATTGCATGATAATTTCTAGCTGGCTGTAGTTCTGATCTTTGGTCATCTTCATTCACTGGTTCCAGCATGAACAAGCAGTGCCTTTCCTGGAATAGGGAGATTTGGAGGGAAGAGAAACAAAAATGATGATGGAACCGTATGATAATTTTTCTAACGAAAGTGGCACATTCCACTGCTACTCCTAGTTGGCCAAAGCAAGTTATATGGTCAAGCAGTTGAAGGGGCAGAAATTTTAGGAGCAACAGTGCCATGCTCTATAGCTACAAATCCCTAAGACTAGAAGCTAGTTCTGAAGATGAAAGACCAAGAAGAGGTTAAAAAAAAAGGAGGCTTTAAACATAACTTTAATCAGGTGAAACATAAGATTAATCTGTTAAAGAAAAGAAACTCAAAAAGAAGAATCAAAACTTCTTATTAACAAAGTTTGAAACCTTCAGAAACAAAAATGTCTATGTTGAGGAAAACTTTGATGACCTTACTGACAAAAGATAAATTAGACTAATGAGCCAAACAAACAGAAGAGTGTCTTACTTTGGACAGAAGTCTATCGAGGCATGTGTTTTTGATGTGTCAGTATTAGTCTTGGCTGGTCACAGAACACGTTTAAAGGGGAATGTGGATCAGCAATAAGCACTTCCATGATCTGGCATCAGTGTTCCTGCTTGGGATGGTCTTTGTTCGCTTATTGCCTATACAAATCCTATTTACTGGTTTTAAATTTGCCTCAGATGTGATCTTGTCCAAGAAAGCTTTCTGGATCTTTCTCATCAGTATGAATCACACCTTTCTTAGATGCAGTGGTAACCGCACTTCTACCTAACATATCACCTTGCTTTATAGTTAATTCTTTACTCTCTGCCTCCTCACCCAGATAACTGTGAATTCCTTGAGGGCAGAGATAGTGTTTTGTCCTGTTGGAGTCTTCTATAGTGCCTAGTGCGGAGGAGTGCCCTGGAAAGAACACAGCCATTTCTTGTTGAAGTTCAGGAATTGCCAGCTGGAGAGAAAGCATCTGACACACACAGGTTTAGCTATATCCTCGATGGATTCCTAGACCACAGCGTGCACACAAGTAGTGGAAGGTAATAATTGTTTGTGATAATCTAGGGTCCAAACTCACCAATACACTAAGGACACTTCTGGGTGAAGTAAGAAAAGATTGGAAAGAGAGGGTTGTGTAGGTACAAGGTGCTATGAGGCACTCTTGGTGCCTCTATTCCTCTGACATCTAGATTAGTTTGCCCCTTTCAGGTATTTCTATTTATATTCTCTTAGTATCAAATACTAATTAATTATATAGGTCTTAGTTTAAGAAATTGCTGTAATGATGTGATTCGACCTTAGTTATGCAAACAGTGAAAGTGAGCAATATGAGGATAATTAAAGGATTAAATAAAACATCAGGTTGAAAAGGATTAAAATCATATAGAGGGTTATGTGAAATAGTTATGTTCATAACAGAGAACATGAATATTTTTAGATTCTCTGAATTTAGATTTAGATATGCTTGTTTTATTTTGTAAATCAAAGAAATGTCCTATATCTTTGATTGGTGTGTTTAGGTTTTATGATGACAGACACTTTATAATAACTAGAAATAGAAATTCCATCTTTGGTGGTAATATAGTACAGGGAACTGAGAAGAGAAGGTCTTAAGGTGCTGTTAATTAGCAGCAATCTGCAGCACAAAGTCTCAAAGCAATTAAAAATGTTAATTGAATATTTGGATGCAGAGTGGAATGGCTCATATGTGGGTGGGCAGGGCACCCTAGGATTGCTTATGGAACTTACATTAAACAAATTATGTTGAAAAACCCAGGATAAACAAATGTGGGCCAACATATATTTATCTACTAGGCAACTGTATTTTTGAATGGCAGTCCATTATTAGTTGTATACAAAATTGTCTATCAGCTGCAAAATCCAATATAAATTATTCCATCTTTCATCCTACGTTTTGTAAATGTAGTATTCCATTTATTTACAGAAAATTCAGTTTTTTTAAAGTGCAATTGGTGGTCACACAATGTATACAATGTCACATCTATGCACATTTGGAGACCAAAAGGAATGAATATTGCCTTTGAAATCAGAGTGGCAAAAGTGATTATTGAGATACTCTATTAGCCTTTGTGTTGGTTTCATCAGTTGAGGTGTTTAATGAATTTGTAAGCACACTTCTAAAAGAAGATCAAAACAAATTCAACATTGCAAAATTTTCAAGTAAGGAAAAAAATTTAATGTTCATTTTAGGAGAATGTCAGTGGTAAATAGTTAATATTTTTGGTAGTTTTGATAGCTATGGCTTCTGGTAGACTTCTGCCAATCTCAGGCACTGTAAGGTATAAATAAGAGATGGACTATCCCATAAAGAAGCCCCACAGGGCAGTGAATGAAGAATCAATTTAGTCCCTCAGATTAGCCCTGCCCTGTGAATGGTCAGGCCAGCTTTAGGCTTATTGTGTTAAGGGGAAAGAGAAATCAGCAAGTGCTTGAAAACTGAAAGTTATCTTCAAAGCTATAATTGGCTAGTAGTTTTCACCTACTTTGCTAAACTTTCCAGAAAGTGGTGGAATTAATTGACTGGAGTTTTTCCCCCCTCTCTTTCACCTCCAATCTGCTTCCCCCCAAAAAGTCTGTGACTGTGACCTGGGTTTTTAAGAAAGTAAGGGTGCTAAGAAGGCTGCACAAGATAGGAGCACAGAACCTAAAAAGTCTGAAGCTATTCATCTCTATCCTTATTTCTGGGATGAAGTGTTCTTAAGGAAACCATGATTTAGGAAAAACGGGCTATTCAAACTGTTAACAGACATTTCGATGTGTGCACAGAGCATATAAAAAATAAATTGTATTTAAGTCAGGACTCTGAGCTTTTTATGCAAATGTATCTTCTAAACTGTGGGATAAAGGAGCTTAGGGTTTACTGAATAGGCCCTTTAGAAGGCCTTGGAGCAGGGGGCTGAAGACATTTACACTGGGCTGGGAAGCATGTTTATAAGAAATAACAGTGTGACCTCTTTGGATCAGGAAAGTTCCTGATTGTTACGCAATGTGTGTGTTTCATTATTTACACGATTTCACTAGGCGACTGGGAGCTGTGTACACAGCAAGGTGAGCCCATAGCAGCACCCCAGTCTCTGAAACTAGAACCAAACACCCTTCCCTTAATACTTTCCACTACCGTTGTCCTTGGAATACTTTATGCAAAAATTTCCCAAACTGTCTACTTCTCCACATTAAAGCAATTTATTTTTCTTAAATGTTTTTAGGAACTACAGTACACGTTTCTTGGGAAAACTTCATACTCCTTTCCACTGTGCTGTAAGGACAAAATAAAAAGTAAATACTGAATAATGAAAAGATACTGCTAGGAAAATCCTTAATTTTGTTATAGGATCTTCTTACCCCCCTGCGTATTGCAACAGATCTTTCCCTTCTGCCGCTCCCTTTCTTTTTGCTACTTCCTGGAGTAAGGGTGAATGTAAGTAAGGGAAAAGAGCCCCTGGCTCGGGCTGGGCTGTGGGTCCTGGGGGCTGGCCTTGCGTGACTCTCGGGGTTCTGCAGGGACGGCGGAGCCCAGGCAGGAGCGGCCAGAGTCGGAGCTGGAGGTTGCCGGGGGTGGTGGGCGCCCTCACGGGAAGGGAGAAGGGCTTCGGGCACCTGTGCTGCTCCGGCTTCTCCCGGTAGCCCCGAGGCCCGTTTCTGTGGCCCTTTCCCAGGTCCCCAGGCCTCGGCGAAGGGGGCGGGTCCCGGCGTGCCAGTCACGCCCCGGCCGGGTTTATAATCCGCCGGGCGGGCGCGGACTCGGGACCCGCCGCCTCCCTGTGCCCGCACTCGGACGCGCTGCTCGCGGCTCGTGGAAAGCGGGGCACCGGCGCCCAAGGCCGCGGGCTCGCTCGCTCTGCCCCGCGCTTCGCCAGGCTCCGGGCGTGGCGTGCCGGTCCCGCAGAGGCGCAGGCACTACCGGTGACAGCGCAGGGACTGCCACGGCCTTCCCATGGCTGACCTGAGCTTCATCGAGGACACCGTCGCCTTCCCCGAGAAGGAGGACGATGAGGAAGAGGAGGAGGAGGGCGTGGAGTGGGGCTACGAGGAAGGTAACCGGCCGCGTGGGGCCCGCGTCGGGGGCCCCGGGACGGCGCGGCGAGGGTCGCGCGTTTCGAGCGCTACCTTCGTGCCCCCGTTTCGCACGGGTCGCTTTCCTCGCTCCTGGGGCGCCGCTGCCCGGGTGCTCCGGCCGCTCAGGTTCGGGACCCGCGGTGCCTGGAAGAGGAGCGAGAGAGCGGTGCAGGTGACTCTCACTTCCAGAAGACCTGATTCCTGACAGTAGTTGTGTGAACGATGCTAGCAAGGCTAAACTCTTTCTAAAGCATGTCTTTAATTTCACACCGCATCAGTGGTCTTGGCGAGAAAGGGTCGAGTTTTAAAAAGAAACTCAGTTCCCTCTGTGTATCCCTGAAGAGGTAGGGCTCCCATTGGCCAACCATTGGTGCTTTGTTTAGCACATACACTGAAATAATCATTTCACTTATAAAAATTAGGAATGGGCACGTATCTATGAAGTATATGTACATGTGCACATTTCAGTGATTTGCATTTCTGGTAGGAGCTGTTACTAGCATCAGAATTTTAGTTTTTGGCTCTCATTAAGCATATGGGAAGTTAGAGCTGTTTCCTAAGTACTGAACATAATTGAGCTAATGAGCAGAGGAAATTTTTGTGCCGATTTTTCCTAATCACTTAAAGATGACCTCAGTTTCCTAGAGCCATAAATCATTACAGCTATGTGGGTAAATACAAGTGAGTGGAATATTTCATCAGTCCAGGATGTTGTATGTAGTAGTAATATTATTAGACCGTTCATATAATGAATGTAAAAATTTACACATGCTCACCGTATTTCATCTGTATCATGATGATAGCCAAGTCCGTCTTCAAGATGTCAAGGATCATAGAATTGCTTGATCCAGTTTTTGCATGTTAAATTTTACTGTAACTTACTTTTTTTGGAAACCTGTTCTAAATTATTTTCATTTTGTCCTTAGGTGTAGAGTGGGGTTTGGTGTTTCCTGATGCTAATGGAGAATACCAGTCTCCCATTAACCTAAACTCAAGAGAAGCTAGATATGACCCCTCCCTGCTGGATGTCCGCCTCTCTCCAAATTATGTAGTCTGCCGGGACTGTGAGGTCACCAATGATGGTCATACCATTCAGGTTATCCTGAAATCAAAATCAGGTACTGTGTTTAGAACACGTGTTTAGAGTTGATGAACACTGATTTAACTTGTATGATTTTAAAGGTACAACTAACAGTGATATTTTCAGGACATGTTCATAGGTTATAAAAGCTAATTTTGGAGAATTATTTTCTGAAACAATTTGAAAAGAATAAAAAGGTGAAATTATGAAGATCTTAGTTCATTGTTCTTTGTGTGATATTTCTGGAACCACCATAATTTGATCAACTTACGCTTTGTGAACTATGAGGAAAAATATACGAGGGTGTACAGGTCTGCATTTGGTTCTAAATTGTTGATTAGCTGAAATCATCTAGATTTCAGCTAGATACTTGTAATTCTGTTTTGCTACTTTTTGAAACCAGGGATTAGGATTTATTGATATAGTCTCACATTCAAGATAAACTGCTCAAATTAATTTTCTCTACTATATTTATATGACAAGAAGAATTGTAATTAATAGCAATTAGAAAATCTTCTAAACTCGGCCAAGGATTTAAATGGCAAATAAAACTCTTGCCTCTATTTTTAACTCCACCTTTCCCTTTGAACCTATTTTGGATGGATCTGAACTATTTTGTGAAAAAGGAAAATTTCTGGGGAAATTGAATGCTAGCTTCAATGTAGAGCAGAAGAAAGCAAATATTTTTAAAAAGTTGTATTAATATGGTTTTTATAGTGAGTGATGACTCTTTCCCTTATAGGGGAAGGGGAAGTAAAAAGGTTGTAGATGCAATATATATATATATATATATATATATATATTTTTTTTTTTTGTATTTCTTTTGGTACCGGGGATCGAACTCTGGTCCTTGCTCTTGCAGGGCAGGCGGCTGAACCACTGAGGTAAATCCCCGGCCCGTAGATGCAATATATACATGTACCAACACCCCACGGTGAATGTATTTGAAATGTATTATAAGTACATAATAATTAAAGAATGGGAAGAAAAATCAGTTAAAAAGGAAATAATGCAAAGTTATAGTATGTTGAAATATTAGGATGTGCTTGATAAACAGAGACTGTGCTCAAATTAATTCCAAATTGATAAATTTAATATTTCAGATCATAAAATCTCTAGATCTATTATTAGGCAAGGCAAGTACTGATTCCCAGCTGTGGATTTTTTATTCATCGTAGGTTTCTGCCCTTTAATTTAGAACCCATGAGATAGCCATGTAGTCCTCCCTGCTGTTCTAACTCTGGGTTTCATGTGTACTTAGTCAAAAATACATAAATTTATATCAGATTTGAACTTAAAACAGAGTTTTTAGGGAGTTTATCTGTGATTGAACATTATAATTATTTCGAGGTATAATTTTTATGTGTAATGTAAGATTAGCCAGCTATGACTGTTCTGGCATTAAAGTACATTTTAAAGCATGATATATGTGATATGACATGTCGACATGTCTATAACCTGAATGGTGTGTCCATTTGCACTTCTAGAAGTAAATGTTTATTTATAGATCTGTAGAACAAAAATACATTTCATGTTAGGCACCATGGTGAGTGTTGGCTAAATACAAATGGGTAAGATAGTTCTTGAGGATTCCCAGGGATGTGAAAATGCAGTTCTTCAGTTCTTTAAGGTCCAAATGTAAATAAGATATGGAAGTGTCATAAAGTAATATGGGGGGGGTGTAGGGAAGGATTCAGTGCAAATAAATACCCCACTGAAACAGTGTGTGTCCAGTCCTGATTGAAGATCAAACTTAGTCAAATTAGACTTATAATTTTCTTCTAGTACCTTAACAAACATTCACAATTTTCTTTAGGCCTTTAAATTTATCCTAAAATAGAGACTAGAAAGCAATGTTTCTACCTTTAACCTCAGGTATGCTTTTTCTTCACTTCCTTTTCTTTACCCATTCTCCTCTCCTCTCCCACACGGAGGAAGGACTTTGTGTTTCTGTCTCAGCTTGATTTCGATGTGTTGTTTCTCTGCCTCCTGGGAGACCCTCCTCTTCTAGATGCCCTGTAACTGTCACTGTAAGGATTTCTTCACTTTCAGTAGACCTGCGAACTTTAAAAAACAAGAGCAAGTGAGTAGTTTTTTTTTTTCCAGAATATGTAAGCTTCTCCAAGGAATAGTCTATAAGCCCTGAATATCCTGTCATTCATTTATATAAATAAAATTTTATCTCTCTCAAAATACCACATAGAGCTGTGTGGTCCCACTGCCTGGCTTAGCTCAGTGGTGCCACCGCCTGCCTTGCAAGCGCAAGGTCCTGAGTTTTATCCCCAGTACCAAACAGAACAAAACAAAACAAAAAATCAACCCACATAGACATAATTTAAATAGTTGAATATTACTACATTTTTCTCTGTCTATAGTAACAACTATTGTGAACTTTTTCAGCTGTTTCTCTGGCAGTCACCTCCACATTTCTTAATAATATCCTTGTGATCTTTTACTTTGACATTTAAGATATCTTTGAACATTCTACTATGGAAGATGCGATTGGTTCTATTATTATACTCCCTCTTATGGTTTGTCCCCGTCATCACCCTTAAATTACATTTTTATTTAAATTAATACTTGATGCTTTTATTGTCATGACTGTGTAGCTATATTTTCTACCGGAGACTATATTCTACCTTCTTTGTTGAGCAATATTTCTTTTCCTGGAGTTAATGTATTTTTAAATATATCTATCACAGATTACTTTTTCTCTGACAGATGACAGATCCTCTCTCAGGACATTCAGAGGCATCAGAGAGGCTAGTCCCACCTCTTGTCCTTTCTTCTGTTTCCTAGAGGCTGCTGGTCCCTCCCTGGACTGCTTGTTCTCCAAGCCTTCTTTACAGCTATCACCTGCCACTCCCTGGACCTTACACCTGTGAAGTCTCTTTGTTTATCTCCCTTGTTGGATCTGATCTTCCCTAAATGCTGACATCCTCTTTTGGAGTTGCTCTGTCATTTTAGGGAGCTTATTGGTTTGTTTTCTCCTATAGTTCTTCTTCCAGGAACTTCCTGAGAAAAAGGGCCAGTGAGGGGCAAATGTTAGGATGCCTTGTGTGTCTGTAGGGGTCTCATTATGTTGCATACTTGATTGGATTTGCCTGGGAAAATGGTCAGTGTTGGAAGTATTTTTTGTGTCATTTGGTGTTTGACGTCATTGCTGCATTGCTTTCTGGGTTCCAGTCTTCCAGTGGAAAGATCTAGTGCCATCTGCTTTTCAAATTCTGTCTTTTTTTCTTTTTTCCTTCTAGAAACTTTTATAATTTTTAACTCCTGTTGTTAAAAAAATTTACTGCCATATGATTCTTCTATAACTCTTTGCTGGGCACAGTTAAATTTGCTCATTATTCTTGTATTGTTCCTTTTTCCTCTCATTTACACCTACTTTATATTTGGCACTTTTCAACTTTCTAGTAGATTTCCCCAATTTATATCTTTCAGTTTTTCAATTGAACTTAGAATTTATTTATTTATTTATTTATTTTTATTTTTAAATTTTTTTAAAAAATTCTTTTATTGGTGCATTGTAGGTATACAACACAATTACATTTCTCATTGGGAATTGTACCTTTACATAATGCATCTGGGTTCTTATTTTTTCCCCATTCCTAGCCCTCCCTTCACGCCCTCCACCCTTCCCTATTTACAAAGACTTTATTTCCATTTTTT